TACACAGGCTCTTTGATCTGCTGTTCCAGCACAACCTTGTGAAATGAAAGCAGAAGCAAACCTTCAGAAAGAGCTTCTGTTCCACATCAACAATGCTTTACTGTCATAAATATTCTTAATAATAGAAAGAAATAAAATAATTAATTTAAAAATGTTTTTTTAATAATATATAACAAATATATATTTAATATTAAAATGTATTTTTATTATTTATTATTACATAAAATATATTGAAGTACATTTTATTTTATTATTCTTTTATATATATATATATATATATATATATATATATACAGTATATACACACAGTAATACAATTACACAAAATAAAAAAATATATATTAATTATCATATATATATGTTTTCTTTTTTAACACCTTCATCTGTTGTTTTGTTTCAAACCTTACACACTTCTTATCAAATGTTTTGCTTAAGCTATATTTCTCCAGAATAAATGTCACCAGCTTTTATATTTTGTTATCTACATTCCGACATTTTGAGATGTCCACATACTTTTGTAAGTCGCTTTATCCTTTTCTCTGGTTGTTTCCCTCAGCGCTGTTATAATCAGACATTGAAGAAGTAGTTCTGGGGAAAGGATTGTGTTTTCTCTATTTCTTTCTCACAGACTCTCTCTTACCCATACAAACAGAACAAAACACAGTTCACCACTTTTGAAAAACCAGTTGCATTTCTCTACAAACATGAACTGAGGTGAAACAGATCAACACTGACTTAATGCCGGAAACTCATCCAGATATCCTCCAGATTTGCTCCAGTAAAACAGAGTGTGTTTGGAATCGCATACTACCTCCCTACTACCATACTACTTTTTACAGTATGTAGTATGTATACAGTGTACAGTATGGAATATGGTTGAGCTATTACCTTTATCAAAATTCAGTGCACAAAAAAAACGGTCCAACAATGCAATGCACTTGACTTCACGTTGCAAATGAATCATATGATTTTTTTGAACATTTCCTAGCATTTCCTTGAGTCCTAGAACAGCAATATTATTATTAGTAGCAGTAGTAGTACAAATTATTTATTTCTATATTTATTATTATTATTATTATTATTATAGATATATTCTTATCAATATTATATTATTATTATAAAATTGTTAATATGATAATTAATAATATGGGTTATATATACATATAGGGTTATTATCGCAAACTAAAACCATAGAAAAAATAACAAACTCTTCTGTTACTTGAAATGAAAAAAAATTTTTTTACTGAAACTAACATAAATATTTTACAAAATAATTTTAATTCAGTTCATTTCCAAGGCAACATTTATTATTTTAATTTAGTTTAATTTGAAGAAATAAAATTACTCAAATGAAATAAATTAAAAATAATAAATGAGTAACAAACATTTAAAAAAAAACTGAAACTAAACAAAATTACAAAAACACACAACACAAAAACTTACTGTTTACTTAATAAAATAAAATAAAAATATATCAAATAAAATAAAAACTTTAAAACGTATTTTCTTTCAGCTAGTTGCCAAAGAAACATTTATTATTTTTGTTTAGTTTAAGTTGAAGTACTAACATACTAAAAACTAAATAAACTAAAACTAATAATAAAATACAAAACAACATTTTTTTACTTTTTTTTTTTTTTTTACACATTTAACATTGCATATTGCATACTGTTCTTGCTCTGTACTGTTATTGCATTATTATTTTTATTTTATTTTTTTCATATTGCCA